CCCTAATGCCCACCATATCCTTAAGCCAGGATATTAAAATACTATGATCAACTGTATCAAAGGCCGCAGTCAGATCCAGCAGGACAAGGATCACATAATCATGCGATCAGCATCGGTTGCCAAGAATATATCATTAAAAACCCTTAATAAGGCCAACTCTGTACTATGTAAAGTTTTAAAACCAGATTGGAAGACCTCCAGGACATTGTGCTCATCTAAAAAGGACTTCAGCTGAATATAAACCACCCTTTCTACTATTTTAGAAATAAAGGGGAGCTTAGAGATAGGCCTAAAATTGGTCAATACCAAGTGGTCTAGACCTAGTTTCTTAAGTAGAGGTTGCACTACTGCATGTTTACAGCATGCGGGGACAACACCAGAAGACAGACTACTATTAATAATAGCCAGGACCAGCTTTCCTATACAGGGAAAGACCTCTTTAAAAAATTGCAGGAGAATAGCATCCTGCGGAGAGCCAGATGATTTAATCTGACTAACCAGTTCCTCCAAAAAAGCTAAAGTTACAGGCTCAAATACATCAAAAACAGCCACACAAGGGACAAATTCAGAGGGGTCAGAGGCAGGGGCTGTAACCAAAGCCCTCCCAGCAGCAACCTTATCGATAAAGAACTGTAAGAAATTATCACACAGCTCAACAGAAGCTCTTTAACACAGAGCCAATTGTTTTAAATAACACACGTGGATTATGACTGTTTGATACAACAATATCAGACAAATATTCTCTCTTAGCTTCTTTAACAGTCTTCTGATAGTGGCACCAACAGTACGTATGCTTTGTTTGCCGAGCATCACGTCACAACTGAGCCGATGGTTCTAGCGCCTCACTCATATAGTCAACATCTGTACTGCAACAATGGCCCCGATGAAGATAAAATAAAGGTTGAAAAGAAAGGCGATAATAAAAAGTAGGTGATTAAGGGGGAAGTTAAAAAGGAAATCATCGTGAAGCATGAACGAGGTATGCGAGTGGCCGACATCCCAAGATTTTATAAGGGAGATGTGTAAAATGTGGGAAACACTGCAAAATGTGGGAAATCACCACCCGAATAAGGCTGTAGCAGTACGAACGATAAATCTGTTTAACAACAATGCAATGCCACATTTCTGCCAAATCCTCAAAAGGAGGCAAAAGCAAGTGTCATTGGACAGGTTCCTTGTTAAAGCAGCACAAAAAGAAAAAGATTTCAGCGAGCCAGCAGATAGCTCCTCTTTTTTTCCTCACGCCAGCCACAATTCTTTTCAAAGGTAAAGTGCAGGTTAATTTGTTTTATTTTTACTTTATTATGCATTTTGTATTACTGTTATCATTTTTATATGAATAAAGCATATGAGAAGCATTTCTGTTCATATAAACAGTATGCCAACTTGAAAAACTCTTTCTTTCTGACTGCCATCAGACTCCTAAACAGCTGACTCAGGATCTACCTCATGTAATTCCATCTGTACTGTTTACATACTCATTTTGCACATGATAAGCTCATAATAAGAATAAGAATGTCATTAGTTTTTGGCACTAGCTGAGAAGCCATGAGACCACCAGGGCTATTACAACTTATCCTCTGGGGAACATGAATCTATGTACAAGATGTTATGGCAATCAATCCAGTGGTTTAAATATATTTCAGGCTGAACCAAAGTGATGGACAGAGAGACTGATATTGCTGTTAGCATGAATAAAATAATTTCAGCGACATCATTTCACCAGGTTAATCCACCCGGTGTCAGTACTGCTTTTCAGGGAGGTTTAGATACTGTATGTTTAAAGTCAAATAAACCAAATCATTTGCAGCTCCACAACATATATTTATTTAAAGTGAAGGTGTTCTGTTGTATTTTGATATTTGTCTTATCACTTGACTTCACTGAAAATGGTGACTTTATGAATTCATGGAGACTGAAAACACCACCTTATACCAACACTTGTCTTAACTAGCCTGGCAATGTTTGTTCATCCAACCCCCATCTCTTCTCTTATTTTCTCCCCTCCCTCCCTCCCTTCTCTCAGAGCTGCTGCAGAGCAGCTCATGTGATCTCAAGCCTGGTGAGCAGAACTCCACCCTGCGGCGGGAACTCAAGCAGTTCTTCGGCTGGGTCCGCAAGCATGCTTATGGCTACAGCGGCGTGTCCACTGTAAGATCAGTGAAGGGTGTGGTTGCACAAATCTCACAAAGCATGGAACCAGCTAGGTAAGCAGAACGGTTGTCTGCTGAGCCAGTCTCTTGCTGCCTCTCTCTCACATACACTACCAGCCAGTGCTGCACTGATGTCCTGAACTCAGTTTCTGACCCTGCATTTAATATGTCCTGTGGTTACAAACACAAACAGGACAGTTTTCTCTTGAGCTGGCTGGCTCTGTGAAGTCTGTACTGTATGATGTTTGTATGTGCGGTACATAGAAACAATGTGCTGTATGTGCGGTTTTGACTGTACTGGCCCATAAGTGGGAGCATAGAAGCAGATACGCTCTGTCATGCACTGATTTTTATTACATATTTTAACGATGTAGACGTCTGATGTTCAGCTGATGACTACAACTGCACTGTTTTTGTTTTGTTTTCTCTTGGTATGAGGAGCCCCTTTCACAAAAATAACTGAGGCCAAATGGCACATGGAGAACTAGCATCCTCTGTGTAAATGACTTTGTGAAGAGTTCAGATTCTTCAGCCACATTCTCTGCTGCTCAGTCCTTGAACTTACAGAAACCTTCACTCTACCAGACTCAATTAGCTCAGCAGTCTCTCAGCTTTTGTGCTTTATAGGGCACACGCTGTCGTCTGAATAATGTCTTTGTTCACAAAGCGTGACAGGTTCCCATTGATTGCCCTGAGAGAAAGGCAGCAGGGAGCTGGGTCACAATACATAGAGAATAGAAAGGGATGCTGCAAAGACAGACAGAGCGAAAAAGTGCCAGACAGACGGAGCAATTATTTTTATGATTTTAAATGACATGGTTTCAGTATGAAGCATCTGCTTTTGTCTTTTCAGATTCTACAAGAGGATAATTCATAGCACCACTGTGGTGTCTAATTCAAGAACAACATCAAGAAATGCTGACAGATAACGGGCCCCGAGGATCCCAGCTGTGTGAGGGATACTGCAGTGATTGTTCATACAGCCTTAGCTCGAGTCTAAAGTACCATGTGGAAGATAACTGAAGTGAGTCATTGCAGCCTTTTTATGCCATTTCCACTGGCAAAATCTGTTTTGGCACAAACACTAATATTTAGGTCTACAGTAATTGCACTGTTAAAACTGTCAAAGAAGTTGATCTGGTAATAGTTCAGATTTTTTTATTAATGTGAGAAAAGCTAATTTTAAATGCTGCTTTTAAGTCAAATGGTAACAAAGCATTACTGAAGAATCAGTGACAGTAACATTATTGAAATGAAAACTGTAAGTACTAAATATGTGTAGATGTTTTTTACAAAGCAGTAGTTAACACTCATACTTTTGAAAAGCCTCAAACAAATCTGAATATGTGAGATTATGACGATGATTGTGACAGTTTATGGTCATTCACATAATGTATTAATTAGAGATGTCCTGATCTGATACTAACTATTGGTATCTGCGATTTCTACGACAGCCCCGCCTTTTGTTAATGCAGCGTTATTAAATTGTTAAACGGAGATATCTAAACTGGACTGGTTACACAAACTGTGTTCACATACGTCGTAGTAGTTAGTATCTGCCCTGTAATGAATCTGTAGTGCTGAGAGTGTGTTGTTCAGCTCCCACTTATTCATTTATTCCTATCAATAATTTAAGATAGTACATTAAATATTTTGGAACCAGGACCTGATCAAGAAGCTCCTGAAAATTTGTCCTAGATTAATTTCAATATACCACATATTTAATGAAAGTTTACTGCAGGTAAATATAGGCATCAGAATCAGCATTGGCAGGTACTTATTAATATTAAAGGAGTCGAATCTGCATCAGGGTGAAAAAACTGGATCGGGATATCTTTGGTATTAATATCTCTGCCTATTGGTCATTGTACTGTTGGATAGGTTTGAGAACTAGATGGTGTATAAAATCCCAAATGACATAAAATAAAGAGCAAACATCAAAAATATTGTCTAGTACCACTGATGCAGCAGAAATAATTGATCAGTTATTAAATCTCCATAAATGGAAATACTGTTGTCTATCTGAACAGACATTTTGATGCTATATATTTTTATACTAGACCTGTATATTTAAGGAATGTGGCTTTTATCTAAATTATATACATCACATTACATTAGAGCCGTTGCTTGACAGTCTGGAAGACTTGAAATCATGACTGACACTTAACTTTTTAAATCTTAACGAAAATAAAACCGAGTGTGTGCTATATGGAGACTTGGCGACCATAACTTCTTTGACCAGGGTCTGGGCCCCAGGCTCACCATCTGAAGTCAACTGCAAAGTTAAGATTTGATAAGCAAATCAACTCAGTTGTGAAATCTAGCTTCTTCCACCTCAGGTTGTTAAGTAAAGTCAAGTCATTCCTTTCTTTTAAGGATTTTGAGATCGCAATCCATGCTTTTATCACTTCTCGACTTGACTATTGCAATGCTCTATACTGTGGTGTTAACCAGTCCTCCCTCTCTCATCTTCAGAAGGTTGAAAACGCTGCTGCTCATCTTCTGACAAGTACTAGAAAATGAGAATATAACCCCAGTACTGGCCTCTCTCCGCTGGCTTCCAGTCTGTGTTAGAATTGATTTTAAGCTGGTGATTTTCATTTTTAAGGCTCTTAATGGTTTGGCACCATCCTCCCTCACTGAATTAGTGCAATGGCACAAACATACAAGAACCCTCAGATCTTCAAGCTGGTTTCTCTTAAAGGTTCCTAGGGTCAGATATAAATGCTGAGTGCTTTTACTCTTGCAGCCCCTAAATTATGGAATACTTTACCTCTCAATGTTAGATCGGCTACTGACCTGACTTTTAAATCATTGTTTAAACATATTTATTTGCCTTGGCTTTTAATACTTAGTAGGGCCTGATGCTTTTCTTTTAATTTGACTGTATGCCATTGGTGTATGTGTTATTGTGCAGTTTTATTCTTGCATTGATTCTATTTTATTTTATTTTAGTTATTTGTGATCTTATTCTGCCCATGTAAAGTACTTTGGTCAACTGGATGTTTTTAAAGGGCTATATAAATAAATTTGATTTGATTTACTTCTGACAAATGATGTGTATAATTTATACAAAAACAGAGTAAATATCTTGGACAGTTTATTTAAATAATACAACATAATGTAAACAAAGATAGCTAGATGAGCTTTTTATAGTAGGAAGTGCAATATTTACAAATTTAAACAATTTCATTGCAACACTGAGTAGCTTTTGTTTTTCCTTTTTGCTGAGGCGTGCATCAACACAAGCACATGACTACAGATAGAAACACCCACAGAACCAGAATGTGAAAAGGCTCCGGGGTGGAATAAGACTGCAGCAGTGAGCAGGGCGGAGCCAGAGGGGGATCGATACTAGCAGCTGAGGAGTCCGGGATGGAAGGCACAGCAGGGTTCAGTCGATCTGTCAGCCCCACTGCCTGGTTCTGTAAGAGGGCAGCTGCAGGCGTCCGTGGAACTGCCTATCACTCACACTCCTCAGAGTCGTACTTAAAGTCCTGCATGATCTCACTCAGAGCCTCTTTGTTCTTGATGATTCTGGACAAGCAAAGAACATAGACACACTTATGTGAAACCTACAGCGCTGCATTAGTTATTTGTGAAAATCTATGATCATTTACACTCACCAGCCACTTTATTAGGTACACCTGCAATACATTATAACACTTTGGCCTTAACATTTGTTTATGAAGATCATCGTTTCAGTTTTTGGTGAAATTGTCAAATGTATACATTTAATTATATTTATTATTGAGGTCACAGTTAAAGGTGTTGTTGTACGGGACTGCATTATATTCAGACGTGTGTCTATATTTTTGTCCTCCACAGCTACACACATGTGAGGTTCAGAGTATTAGGAACACCTAAACAAACATTTTGAGCTTCATAAACACAGATGTTAAGGTGGAAGTGCTGCACTTGAGTGCATAGTTGTACAGGTTGTTGTGGCCGGTGAGTGCATTTTCCAACCAAATGAAACTGCAGGGGTAACAAAGGACAGTCTGTCGAATTAGGAAACACACAGGAAACACCTGAACCCCCTAGCAGCTGTGTGGCCATCAGCAGGTCAGCAGGGATTTAGCGCTCTGAACTGAGGATAGGTTAATAGGTGCCCTTACTTGTGCTTGATCTCCTGAATCTTTTCTTGACAGCCTTCGTCGTCCGGGTGATCCTGGGCCCGCTGCCTGGCCAGCTGCAGCTTGGCTGTCTGTTGTGAAGGCACATCAGATATGATTTACGCAAACCAGTCATTGCAGGAGGATGTAGATGAAAAAGAGGGTGGACTCTGAGATAATAGCTTTATAACATTAGCGGTACAAAAAAAAATAAAAGGTCAATAGTATAGAGGAGTTTAACACCTCTGAATTCCAGATGTATGAGATGAAGATTCATCAATAATGTGGGGAAATGAAGCAGTAACATTTTATCACTGGTCTGACTCCAAATGTCAGTCCAGCCATGGTGAGAGTCAAAAGGGATGGGATGATGTGAATTTTTCTCTATACAATTCAATGCATGATATAGTGTGTACGATTCCATTCAATCACAATACAATTAAAATTCATTGACAACGTATGACCAGCTACAGAATACTTTATTCCTCTTTTCTAGCACTGGCTTGATCATGTAAAAAAACAACCAGATATAATTGACTTATGTTCTGTTAGATCTTATTTACAAAAAATATAAAATAACTGGTGTATGAGACTGCCTCCTTGTGGTGAAACAGTGGAACCGTATCAAACATTCAATAATAAGAACTACTACCACCCATTTAAAGAAATATGAAACAGGTAAAGTGAATGTTTTGAACTAATCAGTAGGGATCAGTTTCTAAATGTCAATGTTTATAAATCAAATAAACGTTTAATAAGGCAAAAATACATGAACTGAAATACCATGTCTGTCATGGTCTGGGGTTGTGTCAGTGCCCTTGGCAAAGGTAACTTGAACTTCTGTGATGGCTTTATTCATGCTGACAATACATAGAAATTTAGGAGCAACATATGCTGCCTTCAAGATGACGTCTTTTCCAGGGGCGCCTATGCATATATCAACAGGACAAAGCAAAATGCTGCACACAATACCGAGGCAGGGCTGGCCTACCTGCAGTCCCAACCGGTCCCCAATAGACAATGTTTTCAAACACAAACTGCATCGACAACCACCCAAGACTGTTGTGCAGCTTAAGACTTGTTGGCAGGAAGAATGGGACAAAACGACACCTGAGACACTTAATTGTGTTGTGAAAAGGAACGGAAACATCACACCGTAGTAAATACTTTACTGTCCCAACTTTTTTTGGGATGTGTTTCAGGCATCAGAATTGAAGTGAGTGTTTCTTTTGAACAAAGAATAAAGTTGAGGAGGTATCACATGAAATAATGTGCTGCTGTATTGCTTTCAATGTAATAAAGGACACAGATGATCACTATTTTCATTTGAATTTTACATATCGTCCCAACTTTTTCTGATTTGGGGTTGAAGATTTTAGTTAACCGCCATACAAAAATTTGCAAGTCTCTTCATTTTCTTTTTACTAAAATATTAAAATGTATGTATCTGAAAATCTGCTGATTACTGTATATCACCTCCATAAGTAGGACATCCACTGCACATTGTTGAAAAATAAAGTGGTTGGAGCAGATCAGACATCAAGTGCACTGTATATTTTTATGTTTATATATGCTATCTCTTGTTCACTAGTCTCTCACTCTGCTTCTGGACTCAAAATAAAAAATAGACCACACAAAGAGAGTTACAGTACATACCAGTTCAAGTTTCTGCTTCTCTTTGCTCTGCAGCTTCTCGATGTGTTCAGAGAGGTCTGGCCTGTCAAACTCATGGTGCAGCCTCTCCTTTATCTCCAGCAGTTCTTTGGAGATGCCACAGAAAGCCTGTGTTATCTCATGGACCAGCTGCTTGTAGTGATCGAAGTCATAATGGGGCCCTGTCCTCAAGTAGGCCTCATGTCCCCTGGAAGGCAGTCAGCAGCCAGAACAACAGTAAAAACAAGAGACATCCACGAGGCAAACAATTCAGATTTGTCTGCTTTCTGTATGTGCTTGAATCAAGGAAAGCGATCCCTGTGTACATGCTATAACTTAGCAGCATGTACGTTATTTCTGGACCTAGACTTACTCTTCAAAGAGTCGATAGGTCTCTACCCGCTCAGACTGAAGATGATAAAACCTTTGGATCAAGGCTTTAAAGTCTGTAGGGACCTACAGGGTTAAATCACATTAAAGAAAATTAACACATACCCTCATCCAGGTTGGTTAACTATTAGTTACCAGTTCTAGTCAGACACAAATATAATAAATATTCTGGTCACAGCTTGACTGAAACTCCTCTAGATGTTATAATGTAGTTTTTTGTTGTTGTTGTTGTTGTTGTTTTTTGATTATTTGGCTTTCGGTAAGACAAAGTAATCGATTTTAAGACACCTCTCGAAACTAGTTTAGGGCATTTGTCGTTATTTTGAAATCTCATGGGCTAAACTGATCTATAGATAACCTTTGGTTAATATCACATTGTACTAAGCCTACTGACTCTAATAAGAGTTTATCAGGATGGTTAAACTGCAGGGTTTTACATGCTTCTTGTACTTTATAATCACGTTCAAGTTAGCGGCAAACAGTACAAGTAGCAGTTGTTGTCAACAGTAGCCACTACATTATCTTAGCTTAGCTTAGCTTAGCACAGCACATGTGAAATATCAGTTCTGACTAAGCCTCTCAGTCCTTAAACTGTAGAATAAAATGTTAAATACGTACCATGATCATATGTCAGAAAACACTACCGCTCAGTTCCCAGAATTTATAACAGCAACATGTTTATATTTGTTGATACACCGCGTCGCGTCTCTCCCATATATTAACCAGAGATAGCCTCCCAGCCGGAAATGACGCACAGTACGGTTTACCATGAGCTAATTTCAAAGTAAAGGTTCTTAAAAATGACCCCACTGCATTAGGACTATAGTGCAGTTGTGACAGATTTTGATCATTCACCTAGAGCTACTTCAGTATTCGAGAACATGATATAGGTCAATAAATTGATTATATTCACAATCTAGCTTTGACCATATTAAAAACTCATACCTCTAAAATACACCACTATAGTTAATGAAGGTCAAAGTGTTTATTTGTCATATACACAGTTAGGAAACGTGTTTCCCTGTACGATGAAATTCTTTGCTGTGATCTAAATTGTAAATAATTTGGGTAAATGGTCTAAAATGGTCTACAAACATTACCACCTTGTGCAGTGTGTGTTTTTTATGCTGCATGGCCCATGGTTTACAAACGGACTATCCTAAGTGTGAATTCATCCATCAGACAGTCCTGTATTAATGCCATAACGTCAAATTGTTTTAAATATCATTATGTGCGTTTAATAATTTAAGTGTAATGACAGTAAACTTCCCGATATTCCAACAAAAATACCAGTTAAAGCAATTTAAAGACAGCCAACATTTGCCCAATAGGAAATATGTTATTATTATTTTATAGCTCATATCACCAAGGCGAATGCTGTAATCATTGACTATGTCACCCCTGTCATTCCCGGCGGGCTGTCAGCCTGTATTACCATGAAGTTAGTCACAGCTGTATTTTGAAAAAACTGCAGCCTGCTGACCGCTACTAACCAATCAGTTGCTGCAGAACAATTATAAGCAGGCCATGTCTGATAATAAGATAATGAAAGGTTTTATTAAAAGATAGCCTATTAACAACAGACTACATAACCCCCAAATCATTTCGGGGATGTGACAAAGATTTCCTGCTGCTCCTCGTCTTGCAGCACCTTTACAGTGAACTATAACTCCATGCACAAGGAGCCCATCTACCGCTTCTCTGCTTTGTGTTTATGGAAATAGACAGAATTACTCCAATATGGACGGAATAGGTCGCAAAGCTACTACTGTGGAGACGCGGACAAACCTACGCGTTGAGTGTCCCTCTGCAGCTCATTGGTCCGTTCAGCGTGTTCAGCACCACGCAGACTGAACAGCGACACGCAGACATGCAGCTTTCTTCAAGTGAAGATGCCGTGCGGTGTACGCTGCTCCACACCGTTACTATGACACCGTCTATCTGACTCTTTTCCCCCCTTTTTTTTGCCATATTGGCATTGTTCCTTCTGCCTACTACAGATGTTTCCAGTCGGTGTATTTGCGTCTTATTGTCTCCCTCGTTTTGAACGCGAACACCCCGCCTGTGTCGCCTAACTCCACAAGAGGAAGCTGTTCTTCCCCATCGCAGATGCTCTGACTCGCGGGTTCTGTTGGTTTCACCGGGTTTCCCTCCCGTCGAGTCGATAGGCATGACGGGCTGTAACGCTGCCGCTCAGGCTATAGGCAGCAGCGACATCTCATGTAGCTACATTGCCGCATCAACAAGCCTCGCCGCCCGATCGCTGTGTTTCCCTGCGCCCCGGTGTCCGCCGGTCCCCCAGCGCCTTTTGTGACATGACAGCTCGGGGAAGGAAGAAGAGGATCAAAGGTTACGGGCAGGGGTTCAAGCAGGAGCGCAGGCGGCTCGGATCCTCGACGGGAGGGCACACGGAAACAGACAGTCTGTACTGCTTGAGCAGAGAGGATACAATCACACCTGTATCAAAAATTCATGTGGTATTTTATTAATTCCTGCAGGGTGTTTCTCTTCTGGCTCGCAGCCTCCAGAGAGGTCAGAGCGCGGGGTCTGCCACAGAGCAGCACCCCTGGAGCTGGCTGATGTGCCTATACATAAGCAAGGCGGGCACCTGCAGGGATTGAACCTGGATCCTGGTCTCACTTCACCCAAGAGGGGGTCCTGTGATCTCACTGAAGCCTTATTGTGATTCTGATTTGGGCCTACATCGTGGTAGCACCCACATTTGCCTTACAGTCTTATCTGATGCACGGCCTCATTGTGTTAACACTGGTCGAGTCCCAGTCAGCTGTGCCGTTACCCAGGCCTGTCAGGCTCACTTGGCTGCTCCTGACCATCAACTTCACCTACACAGCCATGGGCTGCATCCAGAGCATAGCCTGTAACAAGTCACGCATCAAACGAGAAAACATCGTGGTGTACGACCTGTCCGCCACCATAGATCACTGTCCGACCATCATTGAGGAAAACTCACCCATAGTGCTTCGATACAAGACGCCCTATTTCAAAGCTTCGGCGCGTATTGTGATGCCCCCAATTGCGCGCAATGAGACATGGGTGGTGGGCTGGATCCAGGCGTGCACCCAGATGGAATTTTACAACACCTATGGAGACATCGGCATGTGAGTTCACACGTCTGCCACCTGCACCCTCATGTCATCCTTGCGAAGTGCTTTCACATAGATGTGCTATAGCGTGCACAAAGGATTGCATGTATGCTTGTACGGTCCCTGTAATGACAAGAGCATTTGTGCACGCAGCAGGTTAACTGTGCTTGTCAGCCTCCTTCATTCAAACGCCCACCGACAGATTCTGTTCCTGTGACTTTGGCACCTAAATAGAAAAGCTGCTATTAGAGGAGCTAAACAGCAGTTGCTGCTCTCCAACTCAAATTGTGCCCATGGAGACATGTCCTCCCCCACGCCCCCACACGACACACACAATATCTGGAAGGCACAAGTGAGGGGGTGTTTAATCCTGCTGGGTTTGTAGAGTGGGTGGTAGGGGCGAGAAGAAGGGGTTGTTGTGGGGTGTCATCAGATCGGTCATGAAAGCACAACAAACAGATGACAACAAAGAGATGACAGTCCCTTGCATATGACCACCAGATACGATTTACCGGCAGTTATTGTTGTCTAAGACTTTCAGAGCATTTCTTAAATCTCTGCTGCTTTTCTTGTTAAAAAATGAATTTTTTATATCTCAGAAACCAGTATGCAAACAATCTTTAACCAACTATCAATAACACTCCACTTTGCAGCCTGGTATGAGGTTACTCCACCACCAGAATCCAAAGTTGACCAACAGCTCATTTATTTTTTTCCTCTATTATTCTGTTAGCTATTTCTTTGATTAATCATTTAATCAAAAAAGTACCAATTTCTGACAAAATTCCTTTATAATTTACCAGAGCCCAAGATGGCATCTTAAATGATTCATTTAAAGTTTTTGATCTATTTTATTTTGACAGTTGACAAAGACACAATCGATTGATCAAGTTTCACATGAATGGTAGTAGCAGATGTTTTCAGTGATGATCAGGTGAGAAAAGAGCATCTTAACATTTGTTGAAAGAGTGGTAGTGAATAAAGTCTCACAGAAACACCTCATCTTTCTGCACTGATGCAAATGTGTGTTCTTTTGTGAAGCAGAATAACTTTGCAGCCTGGTATGAGGTTACTCTTAAGAATTATATTTCTCATTTTATAGGATAAGGCTGGCAATATTTTATATTTCTGCAACTCTCAATAAAACCTGTGAAACGAGCGCTTTAGTCGGTCTCTCGGTTCTTTTCCACTCTCCTGGTTAAGCTATGGCTCTTAACTCCATGAGCATTTTTCATACTACAGTAAACATATAAATCTGTAAAAGCAGGTCACAAATATATGCTTTCATTTCTAAAAGAAGCTAAATTATTTCCTAGCACAGCTTGGCACCATAGCTTTTAGCAAACATTACTCAAACAGGTATAAATAATGCATTTGTTGTGGACTGTTTTCATCAGTTTTAAGAATTTTATTGGGTGCTCTCGAGAGTATTCCAGGTAGCAGATACTGTATGTAGGATAGACTGAAAAGTAACACTGCCTTATTCATGGTAATTAAGGAACATGCCACCCAGTGCAAGAGTATGGCTCAGTGATGTGCATTTAATAGTTCTTTGACAGCAGTAGGGTATATTCTGTACATGGCACAGTGGAATAGGTTACATAAGGCTTTGGCTACATAGACAATCCTTGTTAATAGGGTTATGCTTGGTTGTGGTCTTTTCACTGGATTTGTTGATAGTAAGAAAAAGACAGAAAAGACGCAGACTTATCTTTTAAATGAACTGCACACACCTACCCAGAAATTTGTTTGCTTCTAGCCTCATATTTTGTCTCCTTCCAGGTCAAGCTGGGAGCTCCCTCAGCTGCGAGAAGGCCTGGTCAGAGCAATCAGCGACTCCGACGGTGTGAGCTACCCCTGGTATGGAAACACAACAGAGACTGTCACCATAGTTGGCCCCACCTCCAAGCCATCCCGCTTCATCGTTAGCATGAATGACAATTTCTACCCAAGTGTCACCTGGGCTGTGCCAGTCAGTGAATCTAACACTCCCTTACTGACTAACATCAAAAGGGACCAGAGCTTCACCACCTGGCTGGTGGCTCTCAACACCACATCCAAGGAAAAGATCCTGCTCCACACCATCAAGTGGAGGATGAGGGTTGACATTGCAGTGGATCCAACACTGCCTCTTGGCTCCAGAGCCAGGCTTGTGGGCCAGGTGTACCAGGACCAGCCACGGGTGCTGACACGCATGGAGCCCATTCCTCCTAATGCAATGGGGAGGCCAAATGCCAACGACGCCCAGGTTCTGATGTGGAGGCCAAGGAGAGGGCCTCCGCTTGTTGTCATACCACCCAAGTAGAACACATCCGACTGGCATTCGGTTTGTCACATCATATCAGTGTGGACCACTTCTGCAGTGAAGCGACTAGATAATGAGATGAAAAGACAAATGAAAAGATCTATAAGCAAGGCTGAGGCTTGTTTCCATGGCACAAATTAGAGTAGCCTTTTGCCTGTAAAATCTTGAGGGGGCAACTGCCTTATTTCCCCACCTCTGCCTTTGACGATCTGGAAAGTTTGTTGGTCCCTTCATCTGGTGCTGTTTAGCTGTTGGTTGTTCAGGCTTTTACTCCAACTCAGTACAACTGAGCAAAGAATCATAGAACTTTGAAAACTCGCCACCGCTGTTGGGATGTAAAGCAAGCCTGTACTGTAGCTACTCAGGCACAGAAACTATCAAGCTGAAAGACAGACCCTGTTTGAAAAAGGTTCTTCAGCCTTAAAGATGACATAACTGTGGGCCTGCGCTGTACTGTGCAGTGAAGTGCTGTGTTAGAGTGTAATCACGATGTGTTTACGTGTCACAGGTCCAAGCAGGATGGCACAGCTATGGGGTTTATTCATAAAGGCCAGAGATAATTAATATCAACTGAAATGTTACTGGATGATCTGCTTTTAGACATGATGTGAGTGGCCAGGCATGTGTGTACATGTTTGTGTGTTGTCCCAGGGTCGGGCCCAGGCTCTTTGTTAAACCGGACTGCCTCTAGCACACGCACGCACACCCACACCCACACACACACCCACACCCACCCATTTATGATTGTTACATTGCAAAGTAATTTTGAACAGTTTGCTATCAGCTCTGTGACGAACAGCAGTACTTTGAGCTAAGGATAGTAAACATACATGCATCATCCGAGCTACTTTGCTTTTTACATATCACAGAAAATACAGAAAACATTTTGGATTTAGTCCTACGCACACAACCATAAATGAAGCCCTACAGCAAGCCTTTTCCCCCAATCCCAAATGGCCAGGTCATACACGCTGCAGAGCTTCTCCCTTCCTGCCTTTTGAAAGCCAGTGATGCCTGTGTTGATGACAACCTCCTACAGTAAAAACATTTCACCTTGCCCATGTCACATCTAATCAGATTTATGTTGCAAAGAAGCACGGTTACTTTGTTTTACAAGTAATAAAATGAGTCAGAGTTAGTGTGTGTTTTTCCAGTCAGTATATGTTTTTTTAAGAAGAAAACAGTGTAGTGAGGTTTAAGGAAACTTAAAGGATCTCTTCTGCCAGATTACTGAAAACATAACTTCTTACTTACCTCTAGCAGTATCTATACATGCAGATTATTAATATTTAAAATATTATTTGTCCCACTTTTTAAATTATCTGTCAGTGCCAGCCATCCATCCAAGACAATGGAGGTGAATGGAATTTCTTTAGTGAAAACTACATGTAAATAAGTTTGCTATCAGCTCTGTGACGAACAGCAGTACTTTGAGCTAAATACTAATGCCAGCGTGCTAGCACACTGATGTTTATTAAATTAATACATCCATGTATTTATTAGGTTGGCCATATCTTCTATAATCACCATGTTAGCATGCTAATAATCGGTAATTTACATTAAATACTGACAAAAGCACTAAGACTGATAAAAGTGTTTGGTTCTGTTTTTCTGCAGTAATTTGCTTATAAACCAGAACTGGATAAATTAAAGGACAAGGCCAGTCATTTTCTAGATTAACAGTATATTCAACACTCCCCATACAGAGACTATAACCAACAACAAATGTCTGTCAGTGCTGGACTGGCTTATTTGTCTGTTCCACTGTTGTTCCAAAATGATTAAAGGCTACAGTAAAACACACCGCTGCACTGGGTGATGTTTCCTCATTACAAAACACCACACCTCACCTCAATATATATATAAAAAAAAGTTACCCCAAAGGCTCCAAATGGCCATAATTTTTATAGCGTCTGAAGTAAGCAAGAGTCTACCACCCATGCACAAGATCTCTGGATATTAAAAAAAAACATATTAGGGTCTGGTGTTTTAAAATGAGGAAATATGCCACCTAGTTCAGCAGTATGCCTTCTCATATGTTTTTAAACAACAATGGAGGTCTATCACACAGACAAACTAATCCATTGTGTGTCCATTGGAAAATACTGACATTAAGTAGAGGCAAGTCATTGTTGGTTTTAGTGCCTGTATAGTGAGAGTATTACAAATACTGTTAAAATATAAAATCACCAGCCTTATCCTATAAAATATGGACCTGATGATTATCAGACAGAATATGTGTAGGAATATGTAATAATCTATCCAGAAGTTCCCTAGAAATAAAAACTATAGGGATCATGGATGTCTGCACAATTTTTTAAAGACCATCCATGTAATAGTACTTAAAATATTAAAGACCATCACCAACTGACAAAAGGACATCTTCATCCATAAAGCCACGACACTGGCATAGCTAAAAATTCACCAGCATGTAGCTGTCAAAAACAGTGTTCCTGTTACTCTGGATTATCCACATACTCTGACATACGCTGACAGTTTTTATCTCAAATATAAACAACAAAACCCGTTTCTGAAAAGACCTGACATTGATTCATTTTAATGTAGTGTGTCAATGAAAGCTCTCCAATCACCTCTGTTGTACTGAAGTGGAGGCAGAAATCTCAGATAACAGAAAACCTGAACAATTAAAACCACGACCATCTGCATGACTGGAGACTGTTAAAAGTGAGAATCTTTTCTCCCTATTTTCGGTGAACTGACCCTTTAGATTGATGCAGTAGGTGGCTCTGTGGACAGATATACAGTCTTTTGTGTCATTTAAAACTGTTCTTTTATATTGAAGTATGACTGAAAATGAAAACCAGAGTGCAGGTTACAGGATATACTGAATCTGAAACCATTGCTTTCTGTTTTCCAGGCAGGTCTCTGTACTGTATTCTGTTGGTACACATTCAACACACAGTGGGCCAGTAAAACAGGTCATGCTGAACTGCTGAGCTGGTTCAAATGAGACAGAGATGAAGAGAGCTGTAGAAAATAACCACGTACTTTTACCCGTGCTGCTCATTAGTCTTGGTGCAAACCAAACGAGCCTTTACACACACACACACACACACACACACACACACACACCTCATCTAGACACTCGAGCCATGATCACCAGGAGGACTGCTCTGCCTGTGTATTACAAGCCCTGCAACACACTCATCACGTAGCGGGGCGGATACCTGATGTTTTAATGACATGCCTATTGTAGTCACGGCACAGGAACAGTGTGTCAGGCACAGAGCACTTGGAGCCTGGGTTGACAACCAAGGGAAACATCTAGAACAGCATTTTCAACTAAGGAGGTGATCTTTATTAGAAACCAAGTGGAAACCATTCTTCCACATGGCCTCAGTTAAAATAAAGTGTTAATGACATATATATTTGTACTTGACCACGAGGTTACACCGTCTGTGTGTATCAGGCAGGCATGGAACGTTTACTAAGGCCTCAAGTGTCTTTTACAGTAAAAGATGTGCCTGAGGATTAGAGGGCAGAGCGGTACACAGCCCTTCATGAGGAGCTGGACTCGTTATTTCTTTCTTGTTCTGCTAATTGACTGGAAGGTGACGCAGTGATTATTTAAAAATGACCAAGCAACGGTGTTCTACATTCTTATAATATGAAGGACATGAAATTTGGCCATGTTTCAGTCCTTTCTCTCAGACTGTCGGGCTTTTGCATGCAGTGTTTTTAAACTCATTAAAACAAATACCAAATATATCAAGCGTGAACGTATTCATGTTATGCACTTTGCAGTTTTAGGGTGACATGACAGGTATAAAATGAAACAAAGCAGATATGTAACTGTGCAAAAGTCAATCTATAATCAGACATCTGAGCAGAAAATGTTTTTTGGATAAATTTTAGTGCTTTTGAGTTTGAGTAAAATGTAAATGTGTGGGTTGTACAGTGGAAAAGATCAGGGACAAGATGCACAATGACACATTCAAAAAAGTTAAATTAAACATTTCTCCTTTATAAAAGATTCACATATTGGCAGTTACAGTTAATAATTAACCTGCTTTATCACAAAAGAAAGTAGTTCCAGAAGAAAAGCAGTCAGCTTGTACTGCCCGAGGTTACTTTCTCAGATGTCTGATGTAATCAGTATCAACAATTCAGTTCGTTCAGACTCAGCCGAGCCACATTCAGTACATTATTTTGATTGCTTTGCCACAGAACCAGCAGAATATACCGTTACAGAAGCACAGGACACAAGGAGGATAAGAATGTCAATAATCACTGGCTTTAAAAATAATATAAATTGAACCCTAATTAATTAATGAATTAAAAAGACAATGCATTTAGATTTACAATTGAAATGTAATTATTTACACCCAAGGTTAACATAATTTCAAGTTGTATTAAAAACATCATGTAATCAAACCGGCCCAATATCAAAATCTTCAATTAATCCCACCGGTTACAGTTGTTCCTGCATCATTTGATCCAAAAACACATTAGACAGTCCAGAGTCATACAATGAAACATATCAGAGATGCACTGTATGTCATTAAACATCCAGTGACTATATGTTGCCTGGCAACAAAAACCCTTTCTGAAAATAGCTGAACAAACAACATGAAAGCCAGAACTGATGCTAGTTACACTAACTGCAACTACCATATTGTAAGGGCTCTTGTAACATGTGTGCATTTCTGTCCTGAGTTGTGCCTTCCAGTTAGACAGGCCTCCTCAGCTGTGTACAAATCCCTTCTCTGTTGCAGGCTATTACCTCCATGCTATTTATTTGCAACTGTCAAGCTTGTTGTAGTATTGCACACAGCTTTAGAATAAACACTGGCTGGGAAGACTCATTTCAGGGCCCTGTATGTGCGTCGAGATGCCGAAGTTGTCAGTCTGTCAAACAGAGCATAGCTGTGTACACAGTAGGTGCGTTCGACGTGGCAGTAACACTGATAGGCAGTCAAAGAGGTTCTTAACAGACAATAGAGCTGGTCAATAATCTCTTCAGCTGCTGAGGTATAACAACCAGGTTTCGCTCTGCTCCAGTAATTACAGGAAAACCAATACAACCCCATCCTGTTTTATTTTTCTCATTGGTTTCTCTCCTCAGCTGAGGCATTTTTGATACGTGAGACCCATCACAGTGTTGTGCTAGTTTTCTCCTCCCTTTTCATTGTCCTCTGCTCCAAACCTGCTTACCTCCTTACTCCCTACTCTTCTGCTCCTCCTCCTTTCCCCATTTTTATAGCTCCATCCTCCTTTCCCCTCCTCATCATGATGCTTCAACAGGACCTCCTACTGCTACTGCTGTAGCATAAGCTGTGAGCGTCCTATGCCCTGCTGGGGTTGGGGGACGGCTTGCCTTTGTAGCCGTAAAGAAAAGTAGCCACCATGACCAAAATGGCTCCCAGGAAGAACACACTGTGGATGACAGCAGACAATATTATCAGCTCCAGACACTGTGATTATGAGAAACTAAAACAAAGATAAAAAATATACAGAGGAGAGACAGAGGGAAATATACTGTAGTAACTGTTTCCTTTACCCAGAGGGGTTGAAATCTTGCAGCCAGAGGTAAGATATAAGAGTGGACAGGATTATGGAGAGCGATGTAGCAAAGCCCTTGAGGATGTTGTCTGCATACTTGATGACCGCTGCTATGACCAGACCACCCAGTGCCTGGAAACACAACAAACACAGATGGAAAAAGCCATGACCTGTACAGGCTGACTGGGAGTCTGATCCTCAGAATGAAAGAGTCTGTTACCCCAGAGGCTTGAAAATACATTTAACAGTTTTGGTGTTAAACATGTATTGAATCACTGTTGGTTGAGTGAGTGTCACCTGCAGCGCTACAACAGTCCAGGTGATGATATTGTAACCCTGGAACATTCCCGACTCCTTTACTCTCTCCCCATCATAAGCCAGCATCCCAGCGATGCCAAACACCAGGCCAAACATCCCTGGAAAGGCACACACACACACACACACACACACACACACACACACACACACACAAATAAATGTGTGCTAAAGATCAGTCAAACATTTAATCCTGAAGAATGAACAGAATTAAACAAAACTCTTACAATTCAGCTAAAGAGAGATATTCAGAAATCAATAAGGAGGCTTTCAGGTAGACTTTCTGTAATTTATTAAATGAATCAGACAATAGCATAAGACAATACCAGTATCTTGATCAGGAGGTCACACACTCAGTGCAAAGAGTCCGTGAGTGACAAAAGAGAGAAGTTACAGTCGGATTTTGTATAACATCAGTCAACTATCGCCCACTAGCTGGAACCAATCAGAAATGTGAAGGTATGTGGCCTTCATAGTATCTTCTAGATAGGCAGCTGGGCAGACAGTTGGGCTCTGTGGAAACCAGGCTATGTGCGTCAATAGAGACTGGGTCTGTTTGTGTATGAAGTGTGTATGTGTAGGGGCATGTATGTGTATGTGTGTGTAGAGACTAAATCTGTGTGGAGTGTCTGAGAGACAGAACTGTTTGGGAGAACTGTCCAGAGGAAAGGGAAACAAAGTTAGACAGTACAAATACATAGATAATAAGAACATTGAGCATATGAATTTAACTTTTCCACTACAGTAACAACTCTGTGTTCTGACAGAGAATAAGGCAAATTTTAGACACAGCAATATTACACATAAAGTCAGTGAACAGATATAATCACAAACTGAGGTGAGGATGCATCCATTCACTATGTTGATATTTAACAGATTCAGGGCACATCTCAAGTCTCTTATATGATCATTCTTACATCCTCAATTGACCAGAACAGCTTCTGGGCAGCCCTTGGATTGAATATGTTCCAAGTCTCTTATATCAGCTCAGAGGACTGAGGAATGAGGGGCTGTCTGGAGAAGCCATCAGTGAGGTACACGAGACCATCCTTCACAGAAGTTTGTGTGGACCGACACCCCTTTATCAGACTTCAGTTTGGTGACTGGACGCTTCTAAAGGGGCGTCAGTTCACAAAAACTTCTGCGAAGGATGGTCTCTTGTATCCTTGCTGATGGCTCCTCAATCCTCAGAGCAGGAATAAGAGCTTTGCGATGTCCTTCCAGATGGTGGACCAGAACAACTAAAGGTCAAGTCAGGATCAAGGAGCGAGAAACAATCAGTTAGAGGAACTGGGATTTATCCATAGTGTTCATCATGTTCACTATCTTAGTGAATGTGTTAGCATGCTAACATTTTCACTCATAGCGCCCAACCAAGGAACAGTCCACCGCATAACTTTACATGAAACCTCAAAATGTCATTTTTACACTTTTGTTTTTGTATGGATTAACCAAATCAAGATATAACATTTTAACTAGTGACCTGTAGAGGTGATGGCAACCAGAAAGTGTTGGGCTAGTGGTTTTCCCTTGTTTCCAGTCTCTATGCTAACCTAAGCTAACTGTGACTTATTTGTAGCTTTTACAACTACAAATAAAAAAAAATGCAGCATTTTCTTCACTGTTCCTGTCCAAACTCCAGTATTTAATGTGGGTGAAACAGATCCAAGCTCACACCAGGAATCGCTGGGGACTTATAAACCCTACATATTCCAAAATAAAAATACACTAGACAGGAACATTCATCTTAATAGAAGTGTATCACAGGTAAAAAGCCCAGCTGCCTCTCTGTGCAGGGACGAAGGCAAAGTGTACTCCAGAGCTTGCTTCAGAAACATGCTGATTTCCAGCAACATTGTCACTGTGTTAACAGAATTCCATTAATCAAATGTCATAAAATGACTCAGGAGGTTTTTATGGTTCTATCAACATTATTGTTCAGTGTACTGAATTCAGGTTTACATGCAAGAATAGTTATTGCAGTAATGCCATTCAAGACTGACTGAACAAATTTAACCGACTGGTGAACACTCACCTAGCTGGATGTTGCGGACCCACACGCTCTGTTTGGTCTCCTTCAGGATCTTCTCAAAGTAGACACCAGCAAACCCACTGGAGCAGCACGCCACCAGCACCGCTGTCAGCCCGATAAACTGGGAGCCCGCAGACAGGGCCTCCTTCTCCGGAGCCAAATCAGATTCAGAGGGCCACTGCAGAGAAACACTTGGTTTATAATAAACCTTGAGCCTCACTGTTCATTCTTGACCTTGGAAACAGTAAAATCTCACTCAAGGTCCACTTATTAGGTCATTCCTCGACGTAATGATGACAAAAACACCGTCAGAGGCTATCTAGCAATAGCAAACATCATTCACTGAGGAAGAATGCAAGTAGTAGGTGGAATAACTAGCAAGTGGACCTTAAGCTAAAAAATATATACATTTTTGGTCAAAATAATAAACGTCTTGGTTTAGTAGTCAAATGTCTGAGCAAACAAAATGATGCAGAAGTTAACAAGGAATATAAGTGTTCAAGATCATCTACACAAATGGGAATTAAAAAACATGCATACTCTTACAGGCTGGGTGTGTGTTTAAGTACTGATTGAACAAATCATCTTACCAACAAATAGACCAGCACACAAGCCCATGTCCAAAACAAAAACAAAGCAAACAAACAAAACCCTTACTGTTTTTACACTTTGGGGTTTGCGTGGGTACAGACGACTAATCAAACAAGATATAATATGTTGATTAGTGAGTTGGTTACCTTCAGACAGAGTCAGGCTAGCTGTTTCCAGTCTTTGTGAAAAGATAACCATCTGCTGGCTGTAGCCTCGTTTTTACTTGACAGATATCACAGTGGAATGAATTTTCTTATTTAATTCTCACAAAGAAAGCAAAGCATATTTCCAAAAGTACTGCAAAAGCAAACAGTACTGTACCATACACAACCAGTGTGTCAATATAGGAAGATGTACAACAGAACCTATTGGACCTAACCGACAAAAAAAAAAAGTCGATTAACTATGTATATTGTGTGTTTTGCATTAAGTACATGTGCCATTGACATCTAATCCTAACATCTGCACTCAAACCTCTCTGTGAACCTGTGATGCTGAGTACATGAAACTCATACAAACTTTGCTGAGTTGTAGAAAATGCTGCAGAGTGTAGGTTCCTGTGTTATGTGCCTCAGTAAGCAAGAAAACTGGTATTAATACAAAAAAATGATAATGACTTCTGGTTGTGCAGAGTAATAAATACTGTATATTGCAGCTACTGCACTTTCTTTGGAAAAAAATAAAAAATATAATTTCTGCCTCAGGGTTGCACGCCTTCGCCAACCAGTCCACTTGTAGTTTACCTGCATGTCTGTCCAGACTCATACATTTAGTGAAGACGTCAAAGGGATTTAATAAAAGATACTAAGTACATTTTTTGGGAAAATGGAAGTTATCACCATAGTGACATGTATGATTCCAGTGAATAATTCCCAGTGAGCAACATGCTGTCTTCACATAGTCTGTTTTTACAGGGCTGCTTTGTCACATCATCCTCAAGTCCAAGTGGACATTTATGACAAATTAGAATAAACACCAACAGGGAGGTCCCGAGATATTGCATTAATGAGAATGAAACGGACATCAGGTCGCCGTCACCTTTAACCACCAAAATCAGTTCAGTTCTTCCTTGAGTTTGTGCCAATGGGAACCAAGACCCTCATGGGGATCATGATGTACAGCATTCATAAGAATAGGAGGGACGTACCTGAGACACACAATGGCTCTAGTCAAGCCTGTTGCTGGCGTGGAGCCATAAAAAACAAAACTAAACTTAAGGTGGACTTGTTCTTTAGTAATGATAATTTCAATAAGTTAAAATTACTGAAACAAGATGCTGTCTGCATTCCAACTTGACACCTCTCCCATAAACCCCATAACAAACCCTGCTGAGTGAGAAATAACAGAGCAAACCTGAAAAAAATCAACAGTGAAAATAAGATGCTGCATTAATGCAAAACATGCCAATTATTTTTTTTTACAGTAGCAGATTCATGCTGTTTTTTTAGCTTGTTTGTTTCTAGGTGATACTCTATGCAAACAGATACCAAGGCTGAGTGCCACACTATATTATCTGTAATTTGAGCCTTCAGGAAATGTCAGTCTCCTGCACACACCCTGTGTGAATGTTCCTACCTGTCTGCCCCTATACATATACAGTATGAAGGTGTGGTCTCATATCCTCCATTGTGCTTCTGCATGCGTGTACAGCCTGTGTCAGAATCACACCTGGTTTAACACTACCTGACTGTTGTTTTCTTTGTTTTTCTCACGTAGGAGGTGGAGGTGTTACCACAACAGTCTTTTCTTTTTTGACATTTCATCATTCTTTATCTGCTTTTATTTCATAGCTTTATCTGCTTTTATTTTTCTTTGCTTAACCTAATGATTTGTTACTTTTACATTGCATTTAATGTCTTAATCTAATTTGCATTCTAATTTTTTTTATATATGCATTTTAATGTGTTATCTATCTGTATACATTGTGTTAAGCACTTTGCACTTGGCTTTGTGTATGAAAATTTGCTACAGTATATAAATTAACTTGTCTTCCATTCCTATGATCTCAGACAGACGCATCAGTGCACATAAGCTTTTCTCTGAATTCTGTATGAACATAAAAAATAATCTCTGATCTTAAAGAAGTCAGGCAGCATGCAGAGATCTTCCAGAGGAAAAAATGTGTAAATGTCTGCAGGTGGTGAGATCAGGCAATGTACCAAACTTGTAGCGATTATCTGAAAATTTACAGTTTAACCCTATTCAGAGTTTTATTTTCGAGAGCTGTACTGTACATGCTGCTCCTGTACATTATTACTTTCAGTGATGATTCCCCACAAATGTATCACAGTCACCAAACTAAACCTGCCAAGAGCACTTGGCAGCAGCATTGGTTTACTACTCAGCTTTGGTTTACTACTGAACATGTGCATCATTCCTGAGGTGAAACCATCCACTCTACATAGACTGCTTCTATGATTATTAGTGGAATTAAAAAGCAGCTACTCGTAAAATCACAAATGTTTCTAAGTGTTCATATACACTATTATTTTTCCATCAAGAGTAACCACATAGAAGTAATTCTGTGGCCTGTCTATGGAGATGGTGAAAAGGCCACTTTAATTTCTACAAGCTGTTAACAATCAAGAGACTTAAAGTTGTATTAAACCTGCACAAGAGCCACTCCAGCCATAAGAATCAGCAGAGAGAGCCATTGGTAGATGCCTAGCCTGTGGCCCAGCATGGACACAGAGAACAGGGCCGTGGTTAGGATCTTCAGTTGGTACGTCACCTGATGGAGACATAGTGAGGAAACTCAATTATTCATGAACAAGAATGATGTGCTAATTGCTGAGAAAACAAATCAGCTTTTGTATGTTACAATGAGTCACGCTGTGACTCATTCAGATTGACACATCCTGCTGCAGTACCTGGTAGGTGGCTGCGTCCAGATTAGACAGGGCGACGTACAGCAGGTTGTTCTGCAGTGTGTAGATCCCAGAAGGGATCGCCAGCTTCAGTGTTTCAAGGGGTTTTTGAACAAACTCCTGACGCAGGATGCTGTTTAGAGCCCGCATGCTGTAACCTGAGGAATGAATACAACAATGTTAGACCACTTGGTATCAATTCAATTTGTAAATAAGTCTTCCAGCTTTGCCAGGATGGAATGAAACTAAAATTATCTGTGGACTTGGTCTGCCGTGTCTTTTTAAGAGGATACTGAAGTAATTTGTGTGTGATTTGTACATGTCTGCCACTATAACAAAGATGACAAAGCAGTTTCAATGTTTGAGTTGTTTGATTGTGGTAAAGCCAGGTGGCCCAGATGTTATCAACTAGTGTTGTTTGTAAAGCAGGAAGAATCCTGTATGACAACTTTAATAAATAGAACCTGGAAAGGTCTTGTTACATCAGTCCAGCTTTTCAGATCTGATGGGTTTTTTGATAATTCGGTAAAGCTGGTTTTTGAATCAGGCAACATGAGAGAAGCAATTCAAATGAATATATTTTGGTTTAGGTAAGCTTATTCTGAAGTTGATGTCAGCAACATGTTCCAAAAAAGTTGGGACAGGGGGTAAAAAAAAGGCTGGAAAAGTTAATGCAAAAAGAGAAAAACACCTGGTGAAACATTTCACAATTACTTAGGTTAATTGGTAACAGGTCAGCGTCATGACTGGGTATTTAAAAAAGCATCGCAGAGAGGACGGGGTGAGGTTCAAAACTTTGTGTGGCAAATAGTTCAACAATTTAAGAAGAACATTTCTAAATGTAAAATTGCAAAGAATCTTGTGTACATATGTTATCTAAGGTACATAGTATAATTAAAAGATTCAGAGAATCCAGAGAAATCTCTGTAAGCAAGGGACAAGGCTGAAAACAAATACTGAATGGCAGCGGTCTTCTGGCCCTACATTAAAACCTGGCACAATTATGCAGTGGAAATCACCTCATGGGCTCAAGAGCAACTCTGAAAGCCACCGTCAGTGAAGAGTGTTTGTTGCTGCACCCACAAATTCAAGTTAAAAGTCTACCATGTAAAATGTATATAAACAAGATCCAGACACGCTGCCACCTTCACTGGGCTCAAAAACTGTCCTGTGGTCTGACTACCCAAAATTTCTTCTTTGAAAATCATGGATGCCATGTCCTTGGGACTAAAGAGGAGAGGGACCATCCAGCTTGTTATCAGCATGCAGTTCAAAAGCCAGCATCCGTGATGGCATAGAGGTGTATTACGACACACGGCAAGAGCAACTTGTTGAATGATATACATAAATGATATATACAGGTTTTGGAGCAACATATGCTGCCATCTTTTTCAGTGAAGGCCTTGTTTATTTCAGCAAGACATTGCCAAACCACATTCTGCATGCATTACAACAGCATGGCTCCACAGTTGTTTGCAAATACTGTACGTTTTGTGGGGTAAAGAACACATTTGCAAACAAAACATGGCATTTGAAGATGTAATCTTGAGTTCTGTGAGTTTTAAAGAGTGCATGTCAAATGGCTAGCATTTAATTAATTCAAGCAAAAACTAGTAGATTAAAAACATTAAAATAACAGGCACAGCCATCCTATTGACTGAAGTGATACTGGATGTGTCCATGTACACTCACTGTGCTCCCTGAAAACGAGTAGCACACAGGTGAGGATCTTCATGACCTCCGCCACCACCACAGCTGAGGAGGCCAGGTACCGCGGGCCCTCGGCCTGCAGGGTGCGGGAGTACCGCATGGTGAGCACCAGGGAGGTAGTCTGAAACACCAGCACGCCCAAAGAGAGGTACATCATCTTGGGAGAACCCATGGCCACTGGTCGGAGGGGAGGGAAACTAGGCACAGAAAATAAGCAACAAAGATGTGTAGTGAGCTGTAATTATTGTTGGGAGGTACGTTAAAGACAGAAATGCAACGGAGACAACAAGAACCTTTTAGAAAGAAAGCCAGGTTATAACTCAAGGGGAAAACACTGGTGAAGAAGAGGAGTCGCTCTCACCTTTCTTCCTTCGCTACAAATCCGCTTTACAAGAAACGTCACCGAAGCAGATATGTATCTCCACACAAAATAAACCCCTTCTTTAGGTTTTACAACTCCGGCTGTCTCTGGTCTCGGCGGCTCTCTCGAACAGACCGACGGACGGACAGACAGACAGACAGACCAGGTACTGGAGTCTCAGCCCAGCTGTCAAAACAGGAGCAAGTCAGGTCCTGGCGTCCATTGACCCGCACCGGAGACCTACCGTCCGCTGAAAGTGTTCATAATCTTATCAGACTCTCCACATCGACTTCCTCATCACCAACTGGAGCTTACCTAACCGTTCGAGGGGAAAAAAGGGTGAACTCTGTAGATGAAACCTAGGGAATGGAGACAACCTCCTGATTGTAGTCCTTATTGAATTCCGTGTACAATGTGTCACGGTTCTTACTCGTCAGTTCGTCGAGGCTTCCTGAGAGATACAGCGCCACCAGCTGCACTGGAAACAAAGTGCACCGCCCATATTACATGCTGTAAAATAAAAGTGTGGCTATGTGATTTCATTGTTTATCTCTGTCACAACGGTGTAATAAAAAAAGATTGTTTTAAGGCTTTTTATTAATTTATTGTGTGAAAATGTACAGTAATTTCTACTGAATGACAGTATAGAATAAAATTTTCTATGATAAACATTGATGACTAGAGTTATAACCAATAAAAAAATAAAAAAAAAAAAATCGCACCAAATACTTTTCTTATTAACCATTCATTTACATGTACTGAATTAAAGCATCTTTATGTGTTAAGCAATTCCAATGTGATTACTGCTGTAAAGGGCCCCACAGTGTGTTTCTGCCTTGAACAATGTGCTGTATCTATACATCACTGTTGTTTATATATATCTTTTCCCAAAGTCAAAATGGAATACACCTCGAACGGTGGTTGAGAATGACCAAGCTAAGATCCTGTGGGACTTCAAGATACAAACTGACAAACTGGTAATGGCCAACCAACCGGACATAGTAGTGGTGGACAAACAGACGAAGAAGGTCGTAGTGATAGATGTAACAATCCCAAGTGATAGCAAGATCAGGAAGAAGGAACACGAGAAGCTTGAGAAATACCAAGGTCTGAAAGAAGAGCTAGAAAAGATGTGGAAGGTGAAGGCACAAGTGGTCCCCGTGGTAATAGGAACATTGGGGGCTGTGACCCCCAAACTGGGAGAGTGGCTCCAACAGATACCAGGAACAACATCTGAGATCTCTGTCCAGAAGAGTGCAGTCCTAGGAACAGCTAAGATACTGTACAGGACCCTCAAGCTCCCAGGTCTCTGGTAGAGGACCCGAGCTTGAAGGAAGGAGTAAGACCACTCCAAAGTGGGGGGAGAGTGGGGAATTTTGATATATTATATACACATACACACACACACACACACACACACACACACACACACACACACACACACACATACATACATACATACTGTATATCGGTATTGTCAGTATTTTAACATTTTACTGTAGGTCCGCGATATTAGCAGCATTGACTTAATAAGGCCAATACTGTATGTTTATCCCACTGCATTCATTTGATTAACAAAACAAAAAACAGTATATGAACAAGACTTTATTGATCCTGGGTGGAAAATTCACAAGATTCCTCTCATTATGCAAAGTAATTTAAATTGTAATTATTAGATTAAAACATATCATTAAAATAGCATATAGGGTAGTTAAATTTGTCAATCTATATAAGCTGCAACATTGAAGTGATGCACACAATAATGCAAGAGTTTTAATGCATAATCCATGTACAAATTGTACTTTTACTTTTGGTAATTTAAGTACATTTTGATGCTAGTACTTTTGTACTTAACATTTTGAATGCAAAAATTTTACTTGAGTATTTTTACAGTATTGCTACATTTACTTAAAGCTACAGCATTTTAAGGTAGCAGTAGTGTGAAACTCTAAATCAGTCCACTCTGCTCCACCCAGCGCTCCCTCTCCCTGCTCCACTATGCACTGCCCAGCTTTTCAGATATGTCATTACGAAATTACAATAAATGAGAATACAACAAGACATACGGATCAAGCAGAAAAAAATTGAAAATCTCTGACTGGTTAGAGAACTAAATCCCCCTCAAAACCTTTAGAAGCTAATATCTCTGCACTGCTGTCAGTGCTGTTCAATGAGTCTGTGTCACAGCAGGCTTCGACAGCACCTCTCCACATTAAGACACATTTTGGAGCATATTGCTACAACAAAAATATTTTTAAAAAGGTTACATACTGTAGCTTTAAGTAAAGGATCTGAATACTTCCTACACCACCGATTAGCAGTGCTGTATTTGCAGGACTGAACCACTGATTCAAACACAATGCTTTACGCCAGAATGGTCCAGATTTACAGAAACATAGAAACAGCTGATTTTGACTTTAGTGGTTTGCTACCAACACTGAAAAGCTTATTTCGGATTCACAGGTATATTTATATCAGCCTACGTCAAGTACAATGGGAAAAGGTTACATAAAACTCTTTAGGTCAAATGGTTGATAATGATTTTTTTTTTTTTTTAAGTAAAATACATCCTATGATTATGCATCAAAACTATACTTGTCTGTTGTTCTGGAAGTGCAAAAGGTTGCACCATGTGCCCTAAGTAAGCATGTAACTATATGAAACTCCCACGTACAAAAATATTAATCACACTGCTGCCCTGAACCTGTTAAAACTTTCAAAAAATATCAAATTTTAAAGGCACTTCTTCAGCAGAAGAAAACCCCGTATGACTGAATCACCAGCATCATTTCAACATCTTATTGTGAAACCATTACAAATCAGTTTCAAAATGATCACCTGCACTGTGTATAAACACGTGGACAAAAAACAGTTTACTAAAAAACACATAAATGCATAAATCTATAAGGATTGGGGTTTTATTTAAGTAAGCACAATTAGCTGATCTTTTTGTTCCTTTTCAACAAAATTTTCATCATCAGTTTTAGTCTTCTAAACAAAAATGGTGGCAACTACTTCACAGGGCAAGTATATTATAGACTATTTGGTTAACAGTGGAAAGTACAATACACAGATCTATACATGACAGAGACATATCCTGGCCTTAGGAAAGGGAGCTGGCACAAGCCAACTGCTACGCATCAATTTACAATGTGCATGTATGTGAAACTACAAGGACACAGAGGAAAAAGCCTAGTGTGTTGGACACTGGCATTATTGATGACATGTAAACCACTTGATACAACTGACAGGAATTTGGACATGATGTACATTTTCGGCGGAACATTTGACCATAAAGACAATGGTATTCCTTTTTTAAAGTTCTAAAGTAAAACGGTGTTAGATACAGAGCAGCCGCACAAAGCCGCTGAATAATCAACATTGACTTTCAAAGGAAGGCATAAAAAAAAAAACCTCATTCACCTCCAGACTTGGTATATCAATCACGACAAATTAAAAAGGTGCAGAAATACACCGACTGTGGTTGAGCACAAGGTGAAGGTGGTTAAATGATTCTGGAAGAGAAACCATTTAGAGGGGTTAAAGGTAAAAACAATGCACCTCTGTAACATCCAAAATCATTTAAGAAAAGCAATAACATGCTTTTTAAACAGTCAACAGATCTTCAAAGTAATAAAAAGCAAAAGTGTGCTGTAAAAGTCTATGTACATGTCGCCATACAACAAAGGAAACCTGGTGATACATCTTTGACAGCGAGTGTGTTAAAACAAATCCATGTTTTTAGCATAAAGTTTGTCAAGCGTCTGAATGAATCCCTCAGTAACGAATAGTGACACCATCTGTAAACCGATATCATAAGACAGCACGTGACTGTGTCCATACAAAATCTAATTTGGTTTTCTGTACTTCTGTAACATCAACTGCCTTCTAAACACTGTTTCTCAGTGCACCTACCAGCTGCAAGTAAGAATTGTATTTAATGAACCTTGTGTGTCTGCATCATTTGATGGACAACAGGGACAACAGCCATATGTGTCACAAAAATACATTTAAGTTGTACACACAAGAGTAGAGTCATTAGATGCCTCTGTGTGAATTTCTTTATAATCTCTCATTTTCGTACTATTTGTCTTTCTAAACATTCAACAGCCTTTTGTAAAATTCCTCCCTTAACACATTAAAAATAGGCAATGCGTGAATAAAAAACAATAAGGGCTTTGAGATTTAAAGCAACAACTGAACATGACCCATTGTATAAAAAAAAAAGCAGAGTGAACGGTTTCAGTGAGGAGTTAGTATTGGTAAGCTTATCAAATAGTTGAAGAAAATATTGTCCTCCAAAACAGACAATATCAATACAAAAAGTCTGCAGTCCTGTCTCAGTGTCCATCTCCACAGTCTGTTTTTCTGATACAGTACCAGCTGACTGTCATCTGGTCAGCAGTTCTTTGATGATCTCTCAACTAGCAGTTTGTCTTTGGGTGCCAAAGATCACAAAGGAAAGTCCTGACACAGCCACAGAGAGCCAAGGATGCCCAGTTGCTATCAAAGGAATTACATGGGAGACCCGATTCTAGTTTTCAACAGACAGTGAGCTCCACATTTTTTGGCTTTGATTTCTAGCTGATAATACTCAATGATACTTTAGAAACTATAGGCACAGTTTTTTTTAAGTGCAAAGAGCAAAATAAAACATAAAAGGTAGGTGTCTGATTATTTAAATGAAGAACATACAAAGAGAAATAATGAGAAAAGCATCGAGTGAGTTGCTTTGAGTTGTTATTTTACTACATAAAACAACAAAGTCCATCTGTTTATGCTGTCCTCTGGTCAGCCTACGCAAACACCTGCATGTTTCCGAGCTGTGTCTGCTGAGAGGCTTGCTGCATCTGCTGCGCCTGTGGCTGCCGCTGCACCTGCTCCGGGAGGTGTGTGCGGTGTGATGATGGCAGTGCATGGTGGGGGTTCCCCAGAGGGGTGGGGCTGGTGGTGACATCAGACCAGTCCGAAGTAGAGTGTGGTGAAGAGGATGACCAAGGGTCTGGGGATTCGGGTGACGGGGTGAGATATGGGTGCTCGCTGGGTGGGTGGGCAGAGTGGCCTGGGGTGGTGCCTTCTGAGTTGGCAGTGGTATAACTGTGCTGGGAAGGGGGTGTCGGGTATTTATCCACAGGGCTCTGCATGGGTGTACAGGAGGGCACCCCGTGGCCTTCGTGGCTGACGGTGTGGGGGTGATGCAGGGGGTGGGAGAGCCCATGCGTCATGCTCATCTGCTCAGGCATCTGGTACATCATAGCTTGGGTGCAGTGGGGGTGGCCTGGTCCCTGCTGGGAGCGACCCTGACTCTGGTTCTGCCCCTGGGACTGTGTGTGCTGGCTGTGGCTGCTTTAACATAGCCTGGCCTCCACCAGGTGCCATCATCTGGAATGTCACGATGGGTGGAAGCTGCTCCCTGCTCATGGTGACATTCATGGGAGTGAGCATGGGGCCCTGGCTGTGGTGTTGGCCCACACCTGGGTGAGATCCCCCCATCTGGTGCGGTATGAGGCCAAACATGTGGCCACTGTAGCCGTGCTTGCTCATGCCCACCCAGCTCTGTTGCTGTCCCAGCATGTGGCTGACAGGGGGCAGCATTGGTCTGGAGGTGGGGCTGCTCAGGAGAGGAGGGGAGTTTGCTGTGGTAGAAATGGCGGCGGACACATCACCTGTGTATGAGTGTGGTGACTCCAAAGAGTCAACAGGTGACATGGTGACAGAGCTCTCTGGAAGTGCTCCTGCTGCCTTGGCACCATTCGCGACCCCTCCTCCTGTACCTCCTCCCACTCCAGCACTCACACCTGCCCCCTCACCTCCAGCAGGCTTCTTTCTTCTCTTTGCCTTCATGTCCTTTAGCTCCTTAGCTCCCCCTCCAACACCTCCCACCTTTGCCCCACCTCCACTCCTCCTGCTCTTCTTTCCCTGTGGCCCGGAGCGCATGCCGATGAAGCCCCCGTTGGCCCCACACATAATGGAGGAGTTTCCTACCCCACCAATGTGGTTGGGCCCATTGTGTGGACTGTGAACCAAATTGTACTGGTCCAGCAGGCGAACTATATCATGATGCATACGTTCTTGAGCGGTATCACGGGGCAGCCGATCCAGGTGATCGGTGATGTCGCGGTTGGAGTAGTGATCTAGGAGAACCTGAGCTGCCTCGTAGCTGCCTTCCCTGGCTGCAAGGAAGAGTGGGGTCTCCTCCTGAGGGGGAACATATAATGATAAATATGGTTCTCTGTGAAAAACTTTATGCCAGAAAGTACAAAGTGAATATAAAGACATGGATACCACTGAATCTTTTGCACAGTTTAGCAGTGGCAATTAAGGGGTTGGCAAAAAAAAAAAAAAAAAAAAAAAAAAGAAATTATTTTACTATACTTACATATTTATCATTTACCCACTGTATTTTATTTGACTTCTAATTTTGCTCCAATGCTATTGGTCAAAGTTGTGCTTGACAGGATAGTGTGTGAAGACTGAAAAGAAAGCTGTGTATTTAGCTATATTTCACCTAAAGTGTAAGTGTATGAAGTCTAATTACCGTAACTGTTCAGATTAGCAGCTGAGAATATGTTTGATTGTTCAGAGGTGGTTTGAGAAGTGGCTTTTTATGGTCCCAGTTCAAGCCTGAATGTGATGAGTGTTGAGTAAGCTTTGATACACACAATATATTAATGGATTATGTGTAATTTTAATCATTAAGAAAATGAAAACAAGTCTTGGAATTCTTACCATATGTTTTATCACAAAATATTTGTAGATCAAATATGAAGTACATTTATGTCCAGACATGTTCGTGTTTTGTAATGGGTTGCTAACTTATATTTGAGTTTTTTTTCCCCAGTAAAATATCTTTACCGGTACTTTTACTTTTCTATACCTTTAACCCTGTTACACCACTGAATATACAGTATAGCACAAATCAAATGAGCGAGGGTTGAAACATCATAATCACAACACACCTTATTGTCTTGCATGTCACGATTGGCTCCATTCTTCAAAAGCACAAGAGTGGCCTCCACATTATTAACTGCAGCTGCCCAGTGCAGAGCGGATTTGCCTAAATGGAAGGACCATGAGAAAAGACAAAGAAGGACCGTGTTAACCAGAATGTAATGCCATTCATAGATTTGATGGTTTTGTTCAGAACTTTGGTAAACTTACTAGTTGTTTTTAAATGTGCTGTATAAATAAATTATGGCTGATTTGATTGATTAAGTGCAACATAAATCAAACACTGTACAGTGTTTCAAACAGTACTGCTCTGTCCATTCTATTTTCATGTTCTTCTGCAAGATGATGAGTTTGTTCACATCTTTGGGCACAAAACTCTCTCGCTCGGTACAAATGAACACAGGACAACGAGATAATGTAATTATCCAACACTTCAAACAAATTTTATGTGTGTGTCATGGAACAGATAGAATTCCATTTTATCTAATGGGTCAATTGACAGTTAGTGTGTCACGCCTGGGCCCCCCCATGTCTTCTAAGCTGCAGGTCTATTTTTTTTCTCTGGCACATTTAGTGAAGCATAACCTCCACAAACAGCTGGTTAAATCACTTAAAGGTATTTTTCTGTGGCAAACTTTTTACTGGTATCTGTTAAAAGTGATCAGCCTACAGTGGGTACGGGAAGTATTCAGACCCCCTTAAATTTTTCACTCTTTGTTATATTGCAGCCATATGCTAAAATCATTTAAGTTCATTTTTTCCCTCATTAATATACACACAGCACCCCATATTGACAGAAAAACACAGAATTTTGGACATTTTTGCAGATTTATTAAAAAACAAAAACTGAAATATCACATGGTCATAAGTATTCAGACCCTTTGCTGTGACACTCATATATTTAACTTAGGTGCTGTCCATTTCTTCTGATCATCCCTGAGATGGTTCTACACCTTCATTTGAGTCCAACTGTGTTTGATTATACTGATTGGACGTGATTAGGAAAGCCACACACCTGTCTATATAAGACCCTACAGCTCACAGTGCA